AGAGAGAGAGAGAGAGAGTGTTTCTAAAGAAAAACCAGAATATGGCTTAATGATTGAGAGAGTGAAAGCACAAATGGATATAATCAGACGAACTTTCGTAAAAAATAAATGGTTTATTGGAGTTACATCTAGGATGCAATTTATTCTCAGAATTCAATGGATGTACATTCTTAAGTCTATTTGCATCTTCATTAAATTCTGTTTTCCATTTACAGATTCAGATCGATGTGGAAGATTTTGTTAATTCATTCCGGCCCGATATAATGGAGGTGGTCTACGCATGGGCAAAAGGCTCAAAATTCTACGAGATAATGGAGATAACGCAGGTGTTTGAGGGGAGCCTTATAAGGGCAATCAGAAGGCTTGAAGAGGTTTTGCAACAATTGATTGAAGCCACCAAATCCATCGGCGAAACCGAACTCGAGGCCAAGTTTGAGGATGCAGTCTCCAAGATCAAGCGCGATATTGTTTTCGCCGCATCCTTGTATTTGTAATTTGTGGTGGGTGGTCTTGATATTTGTAAAATTACATCCATTCAATTTTGCTATTCTTATTCTATTTCTGGCTGAATCATTGAGCTTTTCCACCAGAAGAGAGGGTGGGTGGCAAAGACGGATCTGTTTTGAAGCAGCTGAACGTCGAGTTTTACATTGTATGCGTTGAGGAAATGCCCGAGATTTGGAAACTCTCTCTCTTATTGTTAGTTTGACTGTAGGACTCACTCTCACATTGGTAGTTCAGCTGTAGAACACACTCTCTCTAGCTAAGGAAAGGTTTTGGGGGAGAAAATATAGGTGGCAGGTACTAAACACAGTATGTTCGTAAGTTCGTTAAATTGATAAAATATAAGCGTTGTAAACTGTTTTGGATTCTTATATTACAAGTGGTGGAGTGGTATCATTGGGCTTAGAGAAACAAATGTGTATATCTCGATCCACTATAGGGTTGTAGTTCATTGCACTACATTCTGCTTGTGAAGAAGGGCAATGATTCTATATTGGCCCAAACTAATCAAAATTAATTGTGATAGCTGCGCAACAATTGCTCAAGCATATATTGATTTATATATCGGCAAATCTGGATGTATTGCGCATGGATATAGTTCCATTCAAATGTTGATGAAAGATGTAGTGGTAAGTTTAGAATTTGTAAGAACAAACGAGAATTTAGTGGGTCCTGTGACAAAGGCCTTACAATGGAAGGCATCAAAATGGAACTGGAGGGTAGACCATAAAGTAACCATCAATAATAGTAAACCAATTTAGGCATTTTGTTACCCCAAGATGTTGAGATTCTTAATGGTAAAACAAGTCGTTCACATGGTTCGTTGGAACACTAGACATGTTCAAATAATTTACGAGTACCCATTTTAGAAAAATCCATTACAATGGATCGACTTGTATAGGAGAAGGTTGAGCTATTTTTTTAAGGACACGGTTTCTTTGCGACCAGCTTGTATATTGTAGAAATACAGGCTTCGCAATAAATGTATTTTTTAAATATAATTTGATTTTAATTTTTAGAGAATATATAATCTTTAACATGGAGATCATGAATATGAAAAAAATGAAATTAAAACTAAAAATAATAATTATATTAAAAAAACATTTTGACTGTTAGTTACACTTGTTTTTGGATGGACCACCTATTTGCATCTATCTTTAAGATGGATACTTTAAACCTATGGACTGCATATTGTAGAAATGCAATCTAGCCTGCATCAAACAATTTTCCTTATCTTAATTATGTGTAAGACATATAGTTCAAATGCTATATATGGATGGGAACCCTTGATAGATTCACCAATATGATGTGGCATCGAGGTTGCTTCCTACGAGATTGGACTTTGTCTCTAGATCGCTCATAAAATCGGTATACAAGGCCAAAGGCCATAACAAGCTGGCAGTATAAAAAGACGCCGGAATGCATGCCATTTGTATGTCGTGCTATTGATATGTCAGGTAAGATCCTTAGTTTATAGCTGTAAGCTATCATGGAGTTTGATGTACTTTATAGTCCGTTCAAATTGAAACCATTATTTTTTAATTTATTCTCTCTGGTTAGTCTTTGGTAGCTTTCCTTTGCTGCTGTGCTATTTTTTTTTTATATATTTTTCTCATTTTATAATTTTGCCGTGGCATTACTGTTTTGTAACAGTCTGTTGTTATTTACTGTCTTATCACTTTGGTGGTTTTTTTTTGGGTCATTTCTATAGAACTTTCATTAATCTAGATTGGGTTCGCTAGTAAACTATAGGTATGAGATTTGAGACACTGGATGTAAGCACATATATACATGCCATTTCGATTCTATTCATCGATGGAGATTCATTTGGCTGGTAACCAGACACTAGGTATAAGAAAACGTAGATACGCCTCTCCAAATCTTGTTCACTAACCCAGAGTTTTTGGCTGGTGACCAGTTCGGCAAGTCAGTTTGTGTTGTAAAACATTGGGTGTAAGCATACATACAAGCTGTGATCGATGTCTGGTATATGGTAATCAAAATGTGTAAAAGATGGTGAATCTTTCAACTTTGAAACAAAATATACGAGAGAGAGAGAGAGAGAGAGAGAGAGCTTACAAGGTGATACATTTTCTTGATTGATTTGTGTAGAATAATACTATGTTTAATTATAACACAAACTTAATATAGAAAGTGAAGAAGAAGAAAAGAGATTTACACAGTATTATTACCTTCTTCCCCATGAACAAGCCAGCCCTGAGAGACCTTCACTAACCAACTTGACACAAACTGAACTTTGCCTCCCTACATCTCAGCTGAAAATGCAGGCGTATAGGAACTAACTAATCTATCCAAAAAAACCTGCCATCAAAACACTCATGCCAGCATGCAAACACGAGAGAGAATCATGGTGTAAAAACAAGAGAGAGAATCAGAGAGGCGTACAAACGAGGAGAGAGAAAGAGAGAGAGAGAGAGAGAGAGAGAGAGAGAGAGAGAGAGAGAGAGACGAATAAACAAGAAGGACGACTAGCGATCTACTACTACTACTAGGGTTGGGACGACTAACTTCCACGTTAGTTCGTTCCTTTCCGACC